GGGATGGTGTAATCTAATCCGTGAGAAGTCCTCACCATCCCATTGTTGATCACCAGGATAGGCTTGTGCCACGGCCCAATCACGTGCAGAGCTCATTCAATCAGAGCACCTGTTGTGCATGGCTTTGGTCCATAAAGCATGAACCGTGTCATCCAGCTCAGGTTCCCACTGGAACTTAGCCTACATACACAATGTCTGTAAAAATGTAAAAACAATAACCTTGTATGTATAATTACATTAAAATGGTACACCAACCCTAAAGCGCTGGAACATCAAGTCACGTGCTTCCTGAGGTACTTCATTCCATCTATGCCACGAACCAGCAAAGGAAGACCTGAAGATAGTCGTCATCTCTCGGACAACATGGGCATCTTTAAACCTGTACAATTAAAAAAAATTACAACACAAAGGCATTCATATTATTTTATTATGTAATACAAAGTCTTATACCACATCTACTTACCCATGGCCTAACAAAGACAGATGTCTTCGGTGGCTCGGATGACTCGGTGTCGGCATCTCTATGTTGGGGCCTCTCCCCGACCCCGAACCTGTCGAAGCTGGGGTCTCCATGGCCACCTCTTGCTCATCTAAACTGCGAAAAGCGGTGTCCGAAAACTCTACAATGTCATCGGCACGGGCAGAGTTGCTACCCCTACCAGACATGGGGCTGCCGCGACTCCCATGACGGCCTCTACCACGCTCTCGGCGTGACATCTCCTGAAAGAACAAACATTATATTATATCATGAAAAAAGATAATGACAAATCATGATTATATATGTACAACTATGAAATAAGCATACAAAAGACAAGCTACTCATCAGAAGAATGATCAGATAACATCGGTTCATCTTCATCATTTGAATCATCATCTATGTCTTCAAATTCTGGTTCATMTTCGCTATCTTCGTTCGATTCGTCGCCACCTTCATCTTCATTTATATTATGGAGTATGTTTACCTCCCCTGTGGCAAGACGAACATCATCGAGCTCGTTTCTTAATGAGAACGTTGTATGAGTTACCCTTTCGTTGACTTGAAAGAATTGTTCTCCATCCACATGATCATTGTTTTCAACATCGTTAACATGTCGGACACTTCATATATACCACGAGCCTTTGTCTTGACAACTGCCTACCAATCTTTCAAATCCTTTGTCATCGAAGAATATGAAGTATAATAGACTTGTTCTGCCTGTGATGCTAGAACGAACGGGTCTTAATGAACGAACGAGTCATCGGTTTTATTAGGCCTTAACCCATTTAACTGGGCCTTAATCCATTTACCGGACTATTTTGAGTGTATCGGACCTTAATGAACTTTATTCGGTTTAATGGGCCTTAATGGGCTTTATTCGGTGTAATGGGCCTTAATAGGCTTTATTCGGTTTAACTAATTATTTTTTGTAATATTCTAATAAATAACAAATAATTAGAAATTTAATAATAAATAATTAAAAATTAATAAGTAATTAAATTTGTAGTTATAAAATAAAAAAATTGTTGAAAATCAGTTTCTAGACAATCCCTCGCTGATCAGCGAGGGATCATCGAGGGAATAGCCAAAAACTGAATCCCTCGTTGATCCTTCGCTGATCAGCAAGGGATCAACGAGGGATTGTCCAAAAAATGAATCCCTCGCTAATCCCTCGCAGATCAGCGAGGAATCAGCGAGGGATCAGCGAGGGAATGGCCAAAAACTGAATCCCTCGTTGATCCCTTGCTGATCAGCGAGGGATCAGCGAAGGATTCATTTTCTGGACAATCCCTCGCTGATCCCTCGCTGATCTGCGAGGGATTTTTTCCTTCGCTGATCCCTCGCTGATCTGCGAGGGATTTTTTCCCTCGCTGATGGTCGTCGCTGATACCTAGTTTTCTAGTAGTGTGAGCTCTTAAAACATAAAATTATGCTAGGAGTTTTGTAAACGCAATAGGGTGTGTGGACAATAATGGGACATGCAACTATCATGTCGAAGCATCAACCAGAACTATAAGGTACTTGAATGGTCCGCAATTTGGATGTATAGGTCCATAAATATCAATAATCCAGACATCCTTGGGAATAATAAGAGGTTACAACGAATATTTAAGGTAAATAATGATAGGATAATAGATGTATAACTTTTCTTACTAAGTTTATTTTGACTACTAGCTTTAACGTAGGAAGCAATTGGCGCCCTTGATGGAAGTTTAATACATGATATCGTCCCTATTTAAGAACAACATTTATATAAAGGATGAGGAAAGGGTGAATGCTATCAAAATGTTTGGGTAATTTGTGACTTTAATATGGTTTTTACATTTGTTGTTGCCGGGTGAGAAGAAATTGCACATGATTCTAGAGTTTTGTCCTCAGATAGTGCTATTGGATTTCGATTTTCTTCTTCAGGTATAATAATGATTTTAGAGGTAATATATTTATATTATTCATATTAACAACTATTTTATTTATTGTTTTCAGATAAATATTATCTATGTGATGCTGTGTATACAAATACTCGAGGATTTATGGCGTCGTATCATGATGTTAGATATTGGCTTGGAGATTTTCGTCGTCAACAAGCAATGAACAAGTATGAAAAGTTTAATCATTCTCATACAAAACTTAGAAATATTATTGAACGTTCTTATGTTGTCTTGAAATCACGTTTCTAATACTGAAAAGAATGACATCATTTATACTTGAAGTTCAAAGAGTTATTATACGCTTTGCGGTTCACAACTTCATACGAAAGGAATGTTCAAATGATGAGTTATTTTCTAAGTATAATCAAACCAACTAGCAATAGGATGATGTCGAGGATCAGACTGAAGAGGTTCAATCGTATGGGAGTATCGCTGATCAAACATATATGACTAGTTTAAGAGAAGAAATTGCAACTCAATTAATGCAAAATGAATATTGATTTTAGTTGTTACAAGACTTTGTTCATGTTTTCTATTGTGTATTGAATCAATTGACGTATTTCAGTTGAATTCTTGAATGTGTTAAATAAATTAATTAATACTTCAGACTTCAGAATCAGTTACAAAAACAACAGTTTTATTTATTCAAATTTCAGACTTTAGACGTTTCTCAGTTTATAAAAACAAACAGTTTTATTAATTCAAATTTTAAAAATCAGACTTCAGCTTTTATCACTTCATAAAAAAAATCAATCGTCACCATTAGAGATGGCCAAAAACAGGTCCCGGGCCGGGCCGGGCCGATCCCAATCGGTCCTAACCTTTCTCATAACCGGCCATAACTGGTCCCTCCGTAACCGGTCTCGGTCCCGGTCGAAAATGATAGGACCGGTCAAGGTACTTCATAACCGATTATGGGCCGCCAGTCCCGGTCCCGGTCCCAACCGGTCCTTGCATTAAAAAATAAGATTTGTTTTTTGATTTTTTTAATGATATATATTTTTAGTACATTATAAAATTTACAATTGGGTCACTCAAATACAATTTAAAAATGCGTAATTTTAATATAAAATTATGTTTTCTTATAAAAATACATTATAAAATTATTTAAAAATACATTTATTTATAAAATTATTTGAATTTTCGGGCCGGACCGGGCCGGTCCATAGTCGGTCCCATAACCGGTCCCTGTCCCGGTCGGTCCCGGTCCCGGTCCCAGGAAACTACCAAAAACCTTAACCGGTCCCGGTTTTCAGTCCCATAACCGGTCCTTACCGGCCCCGGTTCCGGGCCGATCCTTCATCGGTCCCGGTCCCAGTCCTCCGGCGGTCCCGCACCGGGCCGATTTGGCCATCTCTAGTCACCATACAATAAGAACTTGAAATCTTTCTTTTATAAGAAACTAGGCTTTTGAATTTATATTCATGAGACAAAAATGCAAAAAAGAAAAGGTTTATTGAGTTGGGTCCTGGGTTTCTTTATTTGGAAATAGGATTTGATTTGGGCTTCTCAATCCCACCTTCAAGGATGTACGATGTGGTCCCCTTTTTCGTCGACAACAACAGCGGTAATATGTTCCTCGTCCAATCAGAATTCGACAACGTTTTTCCAAAACCTCTCTGGTTTTCCAAATACCACCCGGTATTCTGTCTCCACTTTTTCAAATACTATTATCATATTACTGTCACTATTAGTTTTAATTATCATCTTTCTTTTTTTATTATTATTTTTTTTGAAAAAAAAGGAATATCTACTAGATTTCTATAAATGGCTTACCTTTTTTATATTTCCTAAAATATCCCTGTCCATCCTATTTCCATATTAATGCCCACATATCTCCATTTTAAGAGAGAAATAAATAAATTAAACACATTTTAATAGAAATAAATAGTTTAATTAAAAATAAAAAAATGGATTTTAAAATGAATGAGTTTATTATATTATATAAAATCAAATAATTTTTTTATTTTAATTTTAATTTATTATTGTTTAATATCTCTGATTAAGCTTCATTTCATATAGATATTTATGAGGTTGGTAATAATAATAATTTCATTTCTTATATATATACACATACTACATTAACAAGCATTTATTAAATATTCATATAACTAACTGCGGATAAACATAATTAAATAAATGATAAAAAAGAAAGTTGGGAAAAAAAACAAAAAAATAGTGATGGATCAAATTATTATAATATTATATTCAATAAAACAAGACAAATAAAATGACTTTCAATAATTTAAGACTTAGAAATTAGGTACATTAGAGTTTAATTGATTCTTAAATTGATAACTCTCTTAAATGAAATAAAATGAAAGTTGTAAATAAAATGGTAGAGATTTATCTTTTAATTGTTGGGGCCTATTTGTAATTTTACGTTAAAAAATATATTTAAAATTACAAGGAACGCTCTGATTTGCTATGGGTTTGTTGGGAGCCTGTGCCATATATATATAGAGATATATATATATATATATATATATATATGTATAGATACACACACATATGTATAGATATATATATATATATATATATAGACTTGGTTTCAATAAATAAAGCAGCGTCTTGCAGTTATTACTATAGAATAAGTGTGTTTTGAGAGAGAAAGGGGGGTAAGAAGAGAAGAGAAGAGATCGTGGGAGAAATGGGGAGGGGAAGGGTGACGTTGAAGAGGATAGAGAACAAGATCAATCGGCAGGTGACTTTTTCGAAACGGAGGTCTGGATTGTTGAAGAAAGCTCATGAGATCTCGGTGCTCTGTGATGCAGATGTTGGACTCATCGTCTTTTCCACAAAAGGAAAGCTGTGCGAGTACGCTACTGATTCTGCGTACGTACTAACTTCCTTCATCTTCACTTGCTACTTTAATTAAACGATTTCATGATTACTCTGGTGGTTTTTATTTCGTCTTTGTATCGTTTGATTTTAAATTTTCTCCGTTGAAAATTGAAGTTGACCCGTAGTTTTTGTGGAACACTAGATGAAACTGTTGGAATTCATGCACGCTTTTCTTCTATCGAATCAACTTCAATCATTAATTCTTTGAGAATCTGTAATTTCTGTGGTAGCAATGCATGACACGTACGTTTGTTTTTTTGTGTTTCTCTTTTGGGGATCGGTTTTAATTAGGGTTCTTGATTTATAAGCAAGTTTGGAATCAGGAAAGGACCATGTTACTCATATCAGGCCCAGTATGAAGTCATCAGTCATTTCTATATCGTTTTTGTTTGCATATTTCAGGCTTGAGTTATATTCCCCTAAGTACTTCTCTATCAATCTTAAGGATATATATATATATATATATATATATATATATATCTATATATATATATATTTGACGGGAATCTATGGCGGTTTAGCCTTGATCAGGTGTTTAGAACTTCAACTACCGGTTAAATTAGTTTAGGACGATTTAGAGGATGGGTTAATTTTTGGGTTACATTTAGGTGAAGGTGATGATGATATTATATAAACCAAGTTGGTAATCTGTACAGTACAAAAGAGAAGAGAAACAAAGGAAAATGAGCTAAAAAGAAAAAGCAAGTCTTGCTATTTGAATTCTGGAGTATAAACATGATTAATCTTGCTAAAGCATGCGTTGCTCAACTAAAGAATGGGGTGAATTTTGAATTCTATTAGAGACATTTGCTGCCGAAAATACGTACAAAAATTCCAGTCATAATGTGATTTATCATATTCACTAACCTTGTTCCTTAATTTGTGGACTTGTAATTTTACGATAGTATGTTAATTTATATATAATTTTATTTGAAGGGTTCAATTTTAATTGTATATGACCAAATACTTGCGGTTTCAGGCTTTGCTAGACACGAGCCTATCGCAAATACAAGCCTCCATATCGTTTTCCAAGCCTAGTCTTGAGTTGATCACATACAATGATACTTGATTTTGGGTGTCTCTCAATTTATCATAGTACCATATTACTACATACTTATTTTGGTAAAAACTAAGAATCGATGGGATCATGAGAGTATATAGAAGCGTACTCGCGTAATGCAGCGAGATACATCGTGATTTTAATATTTCATTTTATTCTTTATCTCAGTCGATATTATAATATGGTTTTATGTGATTTGATGATTTTTTATTTTTGAATAAAATATATGTTTGAAGATATCATAAAAA